TCCCGTCGTGCCCCGCGCCAGCTGCCCGACTTCCGCTCCTCCTCGCCCTGGCCACCATGTTGAGTGTGGCGCGCCCTCCCCTTCCGCGGCCGGGCGGCAGTAACCGGTATCGTCGGAGGCTCCCTCCTCCGCTGGAGGCTCGGAGGCCAGGAGCCGTCCTTGCTCCCCCCTCGGTGCGGGGGAAATCAGCTTTGACCCTACCAAAATGGCGGCAACGTCGCAACCGGAGTGCACTTCACCCCCGCGGCGGCCATGCGGGGAGCGGAAGTGACGTTATCGCGCCTGGCGCGCTCAGAAGGAAGGGGGCGGCGGCCATCTTTGTTGTCGGCAGGGGCTGCGCCGGGTCCCGATGCCGGCGGAGAAGATGGCGGTGGACGGGCCCGAGCAGGTGCGGCCGGGCCGGGCCGGGATGGGATGGGATGGGATGGGATGGGATGGGATGGGATGGGATGGAGCGAAGCGGGGACGGTCGCGGGGTGCTCGGGCCGCGCCGTGCTGCCGCGGGGCTCTGCTGCCACCGCATGTGATCGGGGCCTGGCGGGAGCCATGACTCGGCGGGTCTCGCCTCAGCCTCCCTGAGGGAACAGGGGGTGAGCGGGGCTGGGGGTGCGGGAGGAGGCTGTGGGAGAAGGGGGAGCTGCGGGTGGGAATGGTGGGACTGCGGGTGCTGGAGAGAGACTTCTGTGGGGATGTAGTGATAAGAAAGGGGTGAGAGGTTTAAACTGAAACGGGGGATTCGGGTTGGATACAAGGCAGAAGCTCTTCCCTGTGAGGGTGCTGAGGCGCTGGCACAGGGTGCCCAGAGAAGCTGTGGCTGCCCCATCCCTGGCAGTGTTCAAGGCCAGGCTGGACACAGGGGCTTGGAGCAAGCTGCTCAAGTGGGTGGAATGGCCAGGCCCTGGGGCCAAGGGCTGTGGGGCTGAGCTCTGCTGTCCCGCAGATGGAGATGGATGACGGGAAGGGCGGCACGGGGCTCCGGCAGTACTACCTGTCCAAGATCGAGGAGCTGCAGGTGAGCCAGGCCTGGAGGTACACGAGGTGCCCGCCCAGGGCTGTGTGACCCCATCCCTACACTTGCACTGGGAGCCCCCACAGCCTGTGCTGTGCTGTGGGTGTCCTGCGCTGGGGTGGGAGGAGGAAACGCTGCCCCGAGGTGCTCTCAGCAACCTTTGGGTGGTGGGGGAGCATGAGATGAGTCCCACCACTTGACCGTGGGGTGTAGCTGTGCCCTGCTGGGATGGGCTGTCCCCCGCACGCCCCTGTCTCAGACAAAGGCCGTTGTGTTGGTGCCCGCGCTGGGTTGCTGTGAGCAGTGCATGGGATATTGAGGGCACAGCAAAGCTGTTCTCCCAACAGCTCATCGTGAACGAGAAGAGCCAGAACCTGCGGCGCCTGCAAGCACAGAGGAACGAGTTGAATGCTAAAGGTATGGCTCAGCTCCCCTCGTCTTCCTCACTGGGGCTCTGGGGCTGGTGGCTCCTGGCCCAGTTGCCAGCCATGGTGGCAAGCGCTGCCCCTCTATCATGGGCAGGGATGGGCACAATTGCTTGTGGCTGGTGCTGACGTCTCCCTCTCTGCAGTGCGCCTGCTGCGGGAGGAGCTGCAGCTCCTGCAGGAGCAGGGCTCCTATGTGGGGGAGGTGGTGAGAGCCATGGACAAGAAGAAAGTGCTTGTCAAGGTATGGGGCTGAGGGTGACCGGCTCTGGGGCACAGTGGGGTGGGGTCTGACAGACACTGCCTTTGATCCCCCAAGGCTTGGAGTGAGCGCAAACAGGAGCTCTGAGGGGATGTAACAGCTAAAAGATGGGAAATGAGGCCTTTTTGCTCCAGAGGAGCACATTGTGGCCATCCTCCTGGGCCACACTGCTGGTGGGAGGCAGCTGGCATAGGCTTCCTGGGGACAGGAGGGGCTGCAGGGTGTTTGGTGTTGGCTGAGCTCCCTGCCTCCTTCCTGCTGCTCCAGGCACCCATTGTGGCTATTGGGCACGTGATAGGGAGATAACTCCTGGTGGCAACTGTCACTTTCCAGGTGCACCCGGAGGGGAAGTTCGTGGTGGATGTGGACAAGAACATCGACATCAATGACGTGAGTGTTTGGGGAATGTAGGAGAGGACATGGGAAGCCTGGAGCTGCCTGCCCTGGCCCTGCCCAGGGGTGCTGAGGTCCCCTCTGCTTGCTTCAGGTGACCCCGAACTGCCGTGTGGCCCTGCGCAACGACAGCTACACCCTGCACAAGATCCTGCCCAACAAAGTGGACCCGCTCGTGTCCCTCATGATGGTGGAGAAGGTTCCAGATTCTACTTACGAGATGATAGGGGGCTTGGACAAGCAGATTAAGGAGATCAAGGAGGTGATCGAGCTGCCAGTCAAGCACCCTGAGCTCTTTGAGGCTCTGGGGATTGCCCAGCCCAAGGCAAGTGCTGGGGATCTGTGGTGGGGGCCAGCATCTGGGGGCTCTTTGGTGTCACCTCTGGAGGTCTTCCCTGCTGCCTGTGCAGCATGGATGGGGTGCTGAGGTGTCTATATGCTCATTGCAGGGTGTGCTGCTCTATGGACCCCCCGGCACAGGCAAGACCTTGCTGGCCAGGGCTGTTGCCCACCACACCGACTGCACCTTCATCCGTGTCTCGGGCTCGGAGCTGGTGCAGAAATTCATTGGGGAAGGTAACAGGGTGCAGGGGGAGGTGGCTCCCGTGGTGCTGGGTGGCCTCAGGTCCAGCCTCTCGCACAGGCTCTGGGGCAGATGGAGCTCGGTGTGCCCGGGCTCAGCCCTCTCTGCATCCTGCAGGTGCCCGCATGGTGCGGGAGCTGTTTGTGATGGCCCGGGAACACGCTCCCTCCATCATCTTCATGGATGAGATTGACTCCATCGGCTCTTCCCGCCTGGAGGGCGGCTCTGGTGGGGACAGCGAGGTGCAGCGCACGATGCTGGAGCTCCTCAACCAGCTCGATGGCTTCGAGGCCACCAAGAACATCAAGGTCAGAGGGTACCATCCTTGCCTTGGGGCCGGGGCCGTGTCCTGCTGGTCTTGTGGTGGCCACAGTGGTGATGGTTGCTGTCCCGTGCAGGTGATCATGGCCACAAACCGCATCGACATCCTGGACTCGGCTCTGCTGCGCCCCGGCCGCATCGACAGGAAGATCGAGTTCCCTCCTCCCAACGAGGAGGTAGGGGGGGTCCCTGCGGCCCTGGTCCTGTCCCCAACCTGCCTGGAAGCGATTCCTGCTGCTCCAGCCCCTGCTTTGCTGCCGTTCTCCCCCAGGCCCGCCTGGACATCCTCAAGATCCACTCCCGGAAGATGAACCTGACGCGAGGCATCAACCTGCGGAAGATCGCGGAGCTGATGCCGGGGGCATCGGGTGCGGAGGTGAAGGTGAGCCAGGGCCCGTGGTGGCACTGGGGCTGGCAGAGGGGGCAGTGGCCGGTGGTGACGTCCCTGTCCCTCGCAGGGGGTGTGCACGGAGGCTGGCATGTACGCGCTGAGGGAGAGGCGGGTGCACGTCACACAAGAAGACTTTGAAATGGCTGTTGCCAAGGTAAGTGCTGTGGAGGAGGCAAAAGAGGTGTGGGGGGCTTCCTGCAGCAACAGCTCCCTGTTGGGGAGGCATAAATGGGCCTGGGAGGTGAGAAACTTGACTGGGGTCAGTTCTGGGGACAGACAGCAGGGTTAAGACCCCTGCCCTGCAGTCCTGATCCAGCTCTGGGGCAGTAGCACAAGAGGGACTTGGAGCTCTTGGGGTGAGTCCAGAGGAGGCCACGGAACTGCTGCGAGGGCTGGAGCAGCTCTGCTCTGGAGCCAGGCTGAGAGAGCTGGGCTGGGGCAGCCTGGACAAGAGAAGGCTCCCGAAGGAGAGACCTGAGAGCAGCTCCAGTGCCTGAAGGGGCTGCAGGAAACCTGGAAACAAGACTTTGGACAAAGGAAGTAGGGGCAGCACAAGGGGAATGGCCTTAAGCTGCCAGAGGGGGGACTGAGATGAGCTCTTAGGCAGAAGCTCTTCCCTATGAGGGTGCTGAGGCGCTGGCACAGGGTGCCCAGAGAAGCTGTGGCTGCCCCATCCCTGGCAATGTTCAAGGCCAGGTTGGACACAGGGGCTTGGAGCAAGCTGCTCCAGTGGAAGGGGTCCCTGCCCGTGGCAGGGGTTGGAGCTGGAGGAGCTTTAAGACCCAACCAAGTCAGCCTAGAATTTAAGGGGGTTGTCCCCATGTGAGTGACAAAGGATGACAGCAGGGAGCTGACAGCTCCTGTGCAGGGCTGGCACCAGGTTTGGGCGTTAGTAGCGCCCAAATGGGAGGTGCATACTGGGATGGACCCGACTGTTGTCTCCTTTGTGCCCAGGTGATGCAGAAGGACAGCGAGAAGAACATGTCCATCAAGAAGCTGTGGAAGTAACGGCGAGGCCAGGGCTGCTCCTTTGGCTGCACCACCTCTAATAAAGTGCTGCTACGGCCAGGCCTGTGCCCTGCTGTGGGGTTGGGGGGTGGGAGGGGGCGGGGGGTGTTGGGACTCAGCACAAACCCACACGAGCTGCTGCTAACTGCTTTTATTAGAAAACATCCAAAATAGACAAAAACTGGTTACACAAGAGGCAGAACAGGCACCCCTGAGCCGTGTAAACCCACCTCCCCTCTGCCTGCACCCCTGGAGGAGGCAGAGCCGCTCCAGCCTGGGCTGGGGGGGAGTTAAGGCACGTCGGTGGCACTGTCCTCTCCACCCCACTTGGTCCCCTCACTCCCCAGCATCTTCAGTTCCCTCCATAGCCCTGGTGGTCCCACTGTCTGCAGGCTGCTGGGGGCAGAGCCACCCCCTCTGCCCCCACCTGAGTCACTCATCCTATAAATCAACTGATTGATTGTCAAAAACTTCCTCTAAAAAACCCTTGGTTCTGTCTAAAAAAAGAGCAGTTCGGGCCGAGCCAGCCCTGAGCTTCCCCCCCCACTGCATAGATTGAGGCCATGGGTGCAGGAAGAGGAACTCAATATATTAATCAAATACAAACCCACTGTACAAAACGCTTTTTTATCTATTGTTTTATAAAACCTGCTCACAAAAATAGTGCAAAACGTCAGGAGAAGGGGGGCTGGCGTTTGGAATGACACAACTTTGGTTGCAGAGGGGCAGGGCCGGGCCTGCCGTGCTGGCAGCTGGGCTCAGGGAGAGCAGGAGGCAGCTCCTGGTGCACGCAGGCAGCTTGGCACTGCTGGGCAGCAGCTCCAGGAGGGATTTAGGCTGGCGGAGGGGAGCGAGGAGCGCAGGAGGGATGCGGAGAAGCGTTAGCGCAGCGCGAGGGCTGCAGTGGGACTTCGAGGGGGGGAACCGGGGGAGCCTCTGCTGTGCTCTGCCTGGGGCCAGAGCTTCTCGAGGGGAGCCCAGGGGTGGCTCCGTGTCCCTCCAGGCACGTCGGGTTTGTGCAAGTGCTGTTTGATTCCAGTAAGTACCATCAGGCTCAGGCAGCAGCGAGAGGAGAAGGAGCTCCCGAGCCCCTGCCGGCCCCTTTAGGTGAGGCGGATCCCGAGCACTTGTTCCAGTTCCTGCCGACGCTGCTGGACCTGCAGGAGATGGATGGGGGTCAGGTAGGGCCAGCGGCTGCCCCGTGCTCCCCTCCCACCATCCCAACCTTGCAGCTCCCCTCTGGCACAGCACAGAGCCCACCTTGGCAAAGATGTGTCTGCCCACAGCCTCCTGCGCCCAGGGCTGCTGGTAGAACTCTGCTCGCCGCTCCTCCTCGGGGTTCCCGATTACATCCGTTATGATCTGAGCAAAACACGGGATGGGGGAACACGGGGTGAAGCCCAGGATCACCCCACAGCCCTTTGCTCTACCCAGCCGCAGGGTTTTACCTTGAGATCCCTCCTCTGGGATTTGATCCATTCCTGGATGAAATCCTGGGGGTTGTTGCTGAAGCTCAGCATGAAATCGCGCTGCGTCTTCAGCTGATTGATGGACTCGATGGTCTCATGGATCTAGGGAGAGGATGGGGTGAGAGGCAGCTGTGTCCCCCCCCCAGCAGGGCATTGCTGCCACCACGCTGCCCCCCCAGCACTGCAGTGCGGCCTCCAAGTGCCAGCCCAGAGCCCCCACACCTTGGCATCCAGCGAGGCGATCTCCTGCTGGTTGGTGGTGGAAGCCAGGAAGTTGCTCATCTGAGCCTTCAGGGGATCGTCCACCTCCACATCGATGTCGTAGCACGCGGTCTTCTTCTGGTCATTGGGGTCCACGCTGGAAGGAAAAGGGGTGGTGGGGGACGCTTCATCACCCCCACCCTGCTGCAGGGCTGGATCGACTCCCCCAGCACAACCCCAGTACCCCAGTGCCTGCCCCAACAAACCCCCACATGGGGTTGGATCATTCTTCTTCTGGGAGACTTCTGCTTTGGGCTGCAGACCTCAGCCCCCCTGGAGGTACCACTCTGCGCCCCAGAGAGCCTTGGGGAGCACTGCTCATCACACTCTCCACCCCTACCTGATGGTGTGGTTGATGATGATGGGATCTGGGTGCTGCAGGAGCCCTGCCAGCTTCATGGGGATCTCAGAGAAGCGCATGCGGATGCAGTTGAAGATCTGGAGGGACAAAGCAGAGTCTGCGTTGGCAGGGCCCCCCTCCACCTCTGAGAGGGCCAGGCACGAGGAGAGGCTCACCCAGCCCTGGTTTGTGCATGGCAAGCTGATGGATGAGGTATAAACCGAGACTGGAGCTTGCTGCCAGCCAAAGCAGCTGCCGTTTGTGGCCGTACTGGGGGTGGGAAGGGGGTTCTCCCAGCAGAGCGAGCTGGGGCCGCAGGGCGAGGGCTGACCTGGCGGAAGTAGCGGTTGCAGTTGATGTACTCCTTCTCGTGGCTGTCCTGCAGCTTGTTGTGCTTGATGTAGAGCCAGAGCGCCTGCATGATGCTGGCGCGGGTCTGGGTGTGCACCCCAAGCAGGCGAGCCAGGCGAGGGTCCAGTTTGTACTGCGGAGGCTGCACGGGCACGCAGGAGCATGGAATCACACAATGGCTGGGGCTGGAAAGGACCTTAAAGCTCCCCCAGCTCCAAGCCCTGCCACAGGCAGGGACCCCTTCCACTAGAGCAGCTTGCTCCAAGCCCCTGTGTCCAACCTGGCCTTGAACACTGCCAGGGATGGGGCAGCCACAGCTTCTCTGGGCACCCTGTGCCAGCACCTCAGCACCCTCATAGGGAAGAGCTTCTGCCTTAGATCTAACCTGAATCCCCCGTTTCAGTTTGAACCTGTTACCCCTTGTCCTGTCACTACAGACCCTCATTGAGACCATCTCCAGCATCCTTCTGGAAGCTGCCCTGAAGTCTCCCTGCAGTTTCTCTTCTCCAGGCTGAACAGCCCCAATGTTCTCAGCCTGGCTCCACACAGGAGCTGCTCGTGGTCTCCTCTGGACTTGCTCCAACAGCTCCATGTCCTTCTGATGCTGAGGACACCAGAACTGCACACAGTGCTGCAAATGGAGTCTCACAAGAGCAGAGCAGAGGGGCAGGGTCACCGCCTTTGACCTGCTGCTCATGCTCTGGGGTTGCACTCCAGGACCCATGGAGGCTCTGTGCTCAAGCACTCACAGCCCAGTCATGTTCAGTTTCTCATTGACCAACAAAGGCTGCAGGGCTCTCCATGGTGCTTGGAAGCGACCCTCCCCTAACTGTGGTGCCCTGCACACCCCTTGTGCCACCACTGGCTGTGTGGTCCATGCCTGGAACACCTCTGTGCTCCCTCACAGCCTCACGACAGCCTCATACAAGGTGCTGCCCCAGCCCAGGCCCCCCTTGCCACCCCCTCAAGCTGCCTCACACAGCTGAGCCATGCGGGAGGCCAGGCAGCAGCACCTGTGTCCCCAGGGCCATACCTGGTGATCCAGCATGAGCAGCAGAGTGCATTTCACATTGACATCGCCAGGACGCTTCACTTGGAAGCCGTCGGTCTCCTGGGTTGTGGGCAGCCGGTGCCACTACGAGAGAGCAAGGGGACACTGGAAACTCCAGGAGCGTGACAAGGCACCTGCAACCAGGCCTCCTGTCTGCAGAGAGCAGGGCCCTGGGCTCCGTGCAGGGCTCCAGCAGGGCCAGCCAGCCTGGAGCCCACCCCGGGCAGGCTGACCCCAGGGGCCTTCAGCCAAGAGCCCGCCCAGTCCAAATGATACAGCTTAGTGTGCTCCAGCACAGAGCTGGATGGGAGTTTGGGTGCACTGGGGAGTTACAGCCCTGAACACTTAATGCCAGGGACTCAAACAGCTCCTGGAATCCACACAGGATCAACCCTGCCTCGGGCACTGCAGGGGATGCTCATCAGAGCTGTTCACAAACCAGCACAGAAACAAGCACTTCCTGGGGTAAAAAGCATGATCTGGGTACAGGGAAAACCTGTTCCAGGCAGGAGCACCCAACAAAGGGCTGCTCCCACCCACAGGCAGTGCTTCACCTCCCACCTCTGCAGCAGGCTGGCAGGTAACGGGGCAGATCCCTCTTCCCTCCTGGCTCTGGGATGCACAATGAGCTTTCCTGCAGCATCAGCTCCTGTGTTGGGCCCACTTGTGCAAACCTGAGGGACCTGGGGCTGCCCAAGCTGCCCCCCAGAGCCACCCCCTGGCTGCAGCCCCACAGCTCAGCTCTGACTCCGTACTTGGAATCACGGAATCAACTCAGTTGGAAAAGCCCTTTAAGCTCATCAAGTCCAACCGTTCCCAGCACTGCCAAGGCCACCCCTAGCCCATGGCACTGAGGCCTCGTCTCCACGCTGTGTGAACACTTGCAGGGCCGGTGACTGCAGCCCTGCCCTGGGCAGCCTGTTCCAATGCCTGAGCACCCTCTGGGGCAGGAATTGTTCCTCAGCTCCATCTAAACCTGCCCTGGTGCAGCTTGAGGCCGTTTCCTCTTGTCCCATCCCTTGTTCCTTGGGAGCAGAGCCCAGCCCCTCCTGGCTCCATCCTCCTGTCAGGCACTTGTAGGCAGCGATCAGGTCCCCCCTGAGCCTTCTCTTCTCCAGCCTGAACCCCCCAGGTCCCTCAGCCGTTCCCCATCACACTTGTGTTCCAGGCCCTGCACCAGCCCCATTGTCCTTCTACTTGCAGGGAGAAGGGGGTTAAGAGCTGAGTGGGCAGCACTTGCTGCCAGGACCCACCACACCAGCCACCAGCCAGTAGCAGGCAAGAACACTTGAGCCTGCTCCCCCATGGAGGGCTCAGCACCATCCCCAGCACCCAAAAGCTTCTTGCTCAAGACCCCCAGGCACCATGAGCCTTCCATCTCACCTCCACCAGATGGTTGTCTGGCCCATACAGCTCTTTGTCCAGCTCTATGACGAGGCTCTTGAAAAAGGAGGAGAACTTCCTCTTCTGCTTGCTTGGCTGCAAAAGGGAGCAGAGACTTGGCCTGACGCTGCCATGGGAGGGCTTCAACCCAAACCCCACCTCCATTCAAACCAGCCCAGCCCAGGGCACCAATGGTCCTCCCAGAACCAGTCTGTCCCTGCCTATATCCTTACATCCTCCAGCAGTTTGCCCTCGACACGCAGCTCCCAGGAGGCCACACGCTCCCCACCCTCCCCTTCTTCTTTGGCCGGGGTGAAAGTGTTGGAGATGTAAATCCTCAGCTTCCGCTTTTGCTGTGAAAAAGAGAGAAGGGGGGGGGATGCTTGGAGCGAGAGGGGGGCTGCCAGAACCCAGAGCAGCACCTATTTCATACCCCCCATCCCGTCCAGCCAGTGTGGCCAACACACCGTCAGTGGCTTCTTAATGGCCTCTTGAATCTCCATCCTCTTCCGAGCGATGGTTTGGTCCAGCTTGCGCTCGAAGGCGAGGAGGTCCATGTAGGCCTGGGATTCTGGGACCAGTTCCCGGATCTGCCAAGCAGGAATGGTCAATTCCTTGCGTGCTGGGATGGGGCTGCATCCCCTGCACCAGCCCCAGCAACGCTACTGGTGCTGGGCTGACCCACCAAGGAGTCACCGAGTGATGGGTCCAGCATGACAGCATTGATTTCTCATCTGAAATGCAAGACTACATCCCAGAGCTGTGCTGCAGACCTCGTTTTGGAGCCTGTCCCTGTGCCCAGTGTCACAGGCAGGTAATGTCACCCTGGATTATCAAGAGGGACCCCCAGGAGAGGCTCAGGGTGCTCCTGGGGTCCCTACCCCAAGCCATCGCTGCTCCTGGCTTGCTCAAAGTCCTGCTGGTCCAACTTATGCACACCCCAAACCTTCTCCTGCCAGCCCAGAGGAAGAGATAAGACATCTTCTGGGTAGGTTTGGGACTGAGCTGCAATGCCCAGTGGGCAGGAGGCAGCTCAGTGAGATCCTTCTCCTCCTGGTGACCTCATCACCTTGGCTCCACTGGGAAGGCAGCACAGGTCCCTATAGCAGCTCAGTGCCTTCCCCATGCACTCACCCTCTGTGGCAGCACCTTGTCAGCCATCTTCCTCCTCTTCACCCTGCAAAGAGCACAGAGACAGGCACAAAACACCTCACAGGACATCCTGCTGCCTGCCCGGTGGGTGATGGGGACACTGCTGAGCCCTGCTTGTACGCTAGAAGCTTGGTGGCACTTTGGCCCCATCCAGGCCAGGCTCCAGAGAGGGCAGTCACAGTGGGAGTGCCAGCTCTGGATGGCTCTGTCTGGCAGCAGTGAACAGGCCTGGGGGAGACGAGGTCTCCTTTTGGGGCTGCTCTGTGTGACAGGGACTTTGGACTTGCAGGAGGAGAGCAAACAGATGCTGTGAGAGCATCCAGGCCATGAAACCTCAGCTAGTGCCAGAAAGCAAATGAGTAAGAGAAAGTATCAGAATCATCACAGAATCACAATCTGGTTTGGGTTGGAAGGGACCTCAAAGCTCATCCAGCTCCAACCCCTGCCATGGGCAGGGACCCCTTCCACTGGAGCAGCTTGCTCCAAGCCCCTGTGTCCAACCTGGCCTTGAACACTGCCAGGGATGGGGCAGCCACAGCTTCTCTGGGCACCCTGTGCCAGCGCCTCAGCACCCTCACAGGGAAGAGCTTCTGCCTAAGAGCTCATCTCAGTCCCCTCTGGCAGGTTAAAGCCATTCCCCTTGGCCTGTCCCTACATCCCTTGTCCCAAGCCCCTCTCCAGGTTTCCTGCAGCCCCTTTAGGCACTGGAGCTGCTCTCAGGTCTCCCCTTCAGGAGCCTTCTCTTCTCCAGGCTGCCCCAGCCCAGCTCTCTCAGCCTGGCTCCAGAGCAGAGCTGCTCCAGCCCTTGCAGCATCTCCGTGCCCTCCCCTGGACTCACTCCAACAGCTCCACGTCCCTCTTGTGCTGCTGCCCCAGGGAGGTCCCTGCACTCCAGCCAAGATGACTCCGGGGGAAGATGTTGGGTGTCTCAAGCCTTTCACAGGGAAGGAAATCCATCCCCTGAGGTCAGTTTGCTTTGCTGCTACCTCTTGCTAAAGGTGCTGCAAGGCAGGAGCAAGGAGAAGGTGGTATAAGGAAAAGCTGGGGCTGCAGCATGCTCCTGTCTGTTCCTGTATTCCCTCTCTAGAAATGGCCATCACATTTGGTACAAACCAAAGCCCATTTCCAGGAACCCACTTAAAACCACCTAAAACCAAACCAACCATGGCGGGTCTGAAATCCTCATGGGTAAAAAGGAAACAGAGGCCACAGAATGGCTGCAGCCCTGCCCAGAGCCAGTTTAGCTCTCTCCTGTAGGACCACAGAGCCCTGTTCTCTCTTCCCACCCCATGCTCTGCAGCACCCTGTGAGCCTGAGCCCACCCCGATTCCACATCCCCATCCTACTCAATGCCTGGATACAGAGGGAAACACTCTCCTCCCATTCTGCTGCATGCGTGAGGGTGCATGGGGCAGAGTCCAGCAGGCAGAGGGAAGTCCCTTTCTTTTGGCAGCAGGGAAGCAGCAGGGCAGTGGTGATGTACAAGGTACAGTGGTTACCCTATGGACACACCCCCCAGCTAAAGAGGGGGCCAGGGCACTGCTTTGAGCTCCTCCTGATGCATTACAAATGCTTCCTGCCCTGCAGGCTTTGGCCACCCCATCAGCAGCTGGCAATTCCTAATCCCTTGATCCACAGCCATCTGGGAGCAAGGATGCTAGCCCGGCTGATCCATGCAGCCTGCCCTTGGGAATGAGCTGCAGCCTTATCTGGCTGCTGACGTCTGCTCCGTGGTGAGCTGCCCCTTGTCCCTAATCCCCTGCTTGCTTGGGATGCGCAGTCGCTGTGCAGAGGCTGCAATAGCCTGTGGAGGGATCATGGAGCCAACTGAGCTCAGGGCAGGGAACAGGGCCTGAGTATCCGTTAGGACGAAGAGACCCTGCCCTGGGAATCCTAGAATCCCAGCCTGGTTTGTGTTGGAAGGGACCTTAAAGCCCATCCAGCTCCAACCCCTGCCACGGGCAGGGACCCCTTCCACTGGAGCAGCTTGCTCCAAGCCCCTGTGTCCAACCTGGCCTTGAACACTGCCAGGGATGGGGCAGCCACAGCTTCTCTGGGCACCCTGTGCCAGCGCCTCAGCACCCTCACAGGGAAGAGCTTGGGCCTGAGAGCTCATCTCAATCAATCCTTGTCCTATCGCTCCAGTCCCTAATGAAGAGTCCCTCCCCAGCATCCCTGTAGCCCCTTTTCACACACTGGAAGCTGCTCTGAGGTCTCCACGCAGCTTCTCTTCTCCAGGCTGAACAGCCCCAATGTTCTCAGCCTGTCTCCATACAGGAGCTGCTCCAGCACCTGCTCATCCTCATGGCCTCCTCTGGACTTGCTCCAACAGCTCCATGTCATTCTAATGTTGGGGACACCAGAACTGCACACAGTGCTCCAAGTGGCGTCTCACAAGAACAGAGTATAGGGGGAAAGACCCCAAGGAGCTGGTGCTGGGGCTTCTGGCAATCACAAGTGCTTGTAGTGAGGCTGCCTGGTTACTGGCACAGAGATGAGAGTGCAGGGAAGCAGCAAACTGAGCGTTCTCTGCCCCATCCCCATAGAACACCCGGGCTCCCGGTGCCATCCCCTTACCCTCTCCTCTGGGTGGCCAGCGGGGGCTGTGCCTGGGGGGTCAGCAGGCGCTTCCTGAAGGGATCCATCATGGACTGTGGCAGGCCGGGTCTCATCGGGGAGGCTGCTCCGTATGGGGGTGCTCCTGGTGGTCCCACCTGCAGGCCTGCCATGGGCATCCTGCTGCCGGGCGGCATCCCGGGGCGCTGGGGGGGAGGAGAAGAGAGGAATGTGTTAAACGCTGCCCCGCAAGGGGAGCTGAGCTTTGCAAGGGACCAGCTGATGCCATCAGCCCTCTTGCTTCTTCCCAATGAGACTGCTGCAGCTGTATCCTGCTCCAAGGTGTGAGCCAGGGACAGGGAAAGGAAGTGGGAAGGACATCTGGAGCTGCAGCCTTCCCACTGCAGGAAGAGTGATGGGACGAGCAGAAGGCACTGAGCACAGGGGAAGCCCAGCCTGGCAGCAAGTACAGCTCTGAAACCATGCATGGCCCTGAGCCACCACCACAGCAGGAGACGTGGGACCTGGAGCATCGTGAGGGTCACTATTGCCTGCAAAGCCCGGGGACATCGGGTGCTGTGCAGAGGGTTCCCCTCCAGAGAGCAGCACTGCTGGAAGGGATGCCTGGGAGGGGAGTGGAGCAATCCCACTTCTTAACAGCTCTGGGAATGAGGAAGGAAGCTGAGCTCCTGAGTGCAGGGATGGAGGTGAGAGCTCACCCCCTGCCAGCACCCCAGCTCCGGTCCTTCCCCCTCCAGGGACCTGGAAAGGGCATTTAGGAGCCACAACACAACATCCACCCCTCCCTGCAAAGGGTCCCGACCCAGGGCAGCACTCACAGCCCATGTGCATCCCCTGGCACAGAGCAGCTTGGCAATACAGCACCCACACTGCCGGCTCACAAGTGCCAGCGCCTACACCCCCCGGGACCCCCAGCAATCAGTCCCAGCACCCATTGGCTGCCCCTACACGCTCCAGCCTGCTGCACCGGCGGCCCGAGCCAACAGCTTCCCGGGATCCTTTGATCCTCGGCTCCCTGCTGCCAAGACACGAGGCTGGGAGAGCCACGGAGCCAGCAGAGCAACATTGCTGTGCCGCAGGCTCCGCAGCGCGCCAGGACATCCCCCGCGGCTCCCCTCCCACCGCACCTCCCTGCTCACGAAGCCACCTCACCACAGCATCTTAAGGCAGCCCTACGATACCTAAAGGAGGCCAGCAAGAAAGCTGGGGAAGGGGTTTGAACAAGGGGAAATGGCTTTAACCTGACAGAAGGGAGACTGAGATGAGATTTTAGGCTCAGATGTGTGGCAGGAGGGCTCGTTTGATGGCAGCTGGAGCCAAACCATGCTCACCTCCTCCCTGCAAAGCTGCTGAGTGCAAACCCAAGAGCTCGAGTTGCTCTGGAGGCCACTGGTGTCTCCGGAAGCTACTGGTGTCTCTGGAAGCTGGAGAGCCCCAAAACATACCAAGTGCTGCATCAAGAAGTGTCCTGCAGCAGCGAGTCACGGGGCGAGTGCTGCACGTGGCAGTTCAAAACCACGCACACAAAGTGCTGAGCCCATTACACAACCCAGTACTGGCTCTGCTTTCCTCTGAAGCAGCAACTCTGGAGCCTGGCCTCACAAACCTGCTCTTGCTACGAGGCAGGAGTGTGTTTGCTCCTCCTCACAGATGTTCCTCTCCTTTGGATGAGCCACACTCGCACAGCTCCTCGTGACAAGCAGGACTGCTCCAGCCCAGCCAAGAGCCGCCCGCAGCCAGCAGCACCTCCTCTTATGCCAAAAGCCACAAGGCCAGAACCCAGTTTCTCTGGGTTTATCAAGAGCTCCTCAGGGCAGGGCTGGGAGGAGAGGCAGCACCAAGTTCCACACCCTTGGCAGCGCTAAAACACAGAGGTACTGCGTAAATACTGTTTGCAGTGTGGTTACAGGAGCAGCGTGCTCCATAGCCCGGCTGATTCACCTACCAGAGCTTCTGGGGAACAGATAAGCCATGAGAAGCTGTGGAATTTCCAAGCGGACATTCCGGAGCCCCAAGGAAAGCTGCACAGTGCAAGAGGTCACCTGCAACACCCCAGAGCCTCCAGGAGCAAATCCCTGCCCCTGGGTGCTCCTCAAGCCCCCATAAGAGACAGTGACCGGTGCCACAGGGAACCTCGTGAAGCTCCGAGAGGTTCCCTACATGACAAAGGACACACGCACCGACAAGGGAACACTGTCAGCAGCTTGCTTGGACTAGGGTGATGTGGCCATGGCCAGCTCCTGTTCTTCAGCCAGGGCAGCTCTCATCATCACCACCATGCCCTGAGGCCTCTCCTGCCTCCCTCTGCCACTCCACGGGTCATATTCCTCATCTATCCCAGATTTGGAGGCTGGCTGGATATCTTTGCCAGCTCCACAACAGCGACAGCACCTTGTGCAAGGCATCCTGTGTGTCCATCTGCTCTTTGGAGGGACAAGGGGCTGCAAGAAGAGAAGACGACTCTGTCAGCAGTGAGAGATGCAGTACAAGGATGAATGGATCTGTCACACTTCAGTCCTTAACATCACCTCCGCAAACATCTGAGAACCATCAGCCACAGCTGAGCTGCTGGAGGGGGTGAGTTCAGCCTTCCAGGGACCTGTGTTGAATTGCTTGGACGAGGAAAACAAGGGAATGCAGAACCCTCCACACAGATGGATGTAGTTTTCCCTCAAGATTTGCAAATTAAAACCTCTCAGCAAAACAGGACCAGCCTCTGCCTTGTGTTCAACAGCCCAGGGAGCCTCAGCCCCTCCTAGGACACAACCCACCCAGGCACGGGGCAGCCTCCAAAGCAGCATTACAGCCCTGGTGGGTGAAAACTGCCTCCATCCCCTTTGGGAAGCCCTGGAAATGAGCAGGATGCAAGAGGGCTTAAATTCAGCATATTTTATTCAACCAGCTCAAGGCAAGGAGCCCTTCCTTAGCTCATTCCTGTCTAACACTCTTTGTCTCTCTGTCCACCCCTCTTCACCCAGAGCTGTGCTGCTGTCCCATTCCTCTGGGTCCTCGTCCTCCCCTGCCTGCCCCACCGCCGCCGCCGGTGGGGTGGACAAAGGGCAAACCCAGCAAGCTCAGCTCTGAGGAACAAGCTGGATCTCATCCAGCCTTCCCCTGCAGAGAGCCCTTTGGAAATGGGACAGAAAACAGCTTGTTTCTGCTCCCTGCCAGAGCCAAAGGAGCGGATGGGGCTGGCTGTGGTTTAGCGGTTCATCCCAGGTCAATGCACAGGCCATTTGTGTTTGGGGAGCTTTGCTCAGAGTCAGCTTTAGCTGAATCCAATGGGAGGCTGGAAGGTTTCCCAATGGATGTTTGCTGGCATGACAGAAGCCTTCCTGCCTGCCAAAGGCCCCTTCTCGAGGAAGGGCAGCCCAGAAATTGCAGGCTGGTAGCAGAAAGGAAAAACGAGGGGAGCAATAAATCACTGGATGGATCTGCAAGAAGATGCAGAGCGAGCTTGAAGAGAAGCAGCAACTAGGGACACAGCTCCCATCTTCCTTCCAAGGCTGCAGCTCTCCCCTGCACATCTCCCCAGCAAGGGGAAAAGGCTCTTCCCAATGCACATCCCGTTGTGCTCTGGCCAGAAAGGCACAATCCAACTTTGTACACACTAACAGCGAGAGCTCACGTGCATCCTCACCCGGGGCTTTGGGAGCAGAGCCCTGGAGAGATGCCAGGCAAAAACAGCTCTTCCTGCAAGTCCCTCCCCGCACGGCAGCACACCCCATTAGGAGAGATGGAGAAACAAATGGGATTTGAGCTCCATTGCCAGGCTGGTCTCAAGGAGCCACCACTCAACCCAGGGCTTTGCATGGCTTGGGACCAAGGGAGCCCCTCCAGCACACCCCAAAAGGGTGCTTTCCCCCTCTTTGTGATCTGTGAGCAGAGCCCTCTTGGGAGAATGCCAGGAGGAGCCTGGCTTTGTGCTGGTGGAGATCTTCATCCGGGAGGTGGTTGTTCTCACGATGCCGCTGCAGGCAGCATCTTGCTCCCAGCAAGCCCCCAAACTGCCCTGGCACAGTTTGTCACACTCGGAAGAGCTCCTGTGTTCTGAGCCAGGAGGAACTGCAGGAGGCAGTAGATGAGGAAGTAGTAAATCAAAGGGAGAAGGACAAAGCAACAGGCAGAGACACGGAGCAGGTTTAGACCACGTGCTGGCAACGTTTCAGGCACCAGAGGAGATGTTGGGTCCAGACAAACCTGCCTCACGTCTGGAGCTGCAGATGCTGCCAGGCCAGGGAAAGGGAAGGTCACAAGGATTCAAGTCCTAACACAGGCACGAACGCATGCAGGAACAAGGAACAAAGGTGCTGGGTTCCTGCTTGAAAGAGAAACTGGCAGCTTGGAGGCACAGACGGGAAGAGCAGAGAGGAGGGCCTGGTATAAACCACTGCCTTTGTGCTGCTGCAGTGCCCAACTGCCCAGGGAACAGCTCCCACAGCTCCTGAGAATGGGGAAGATGAAGTGAGGGCCTTCAACAGCAACTTCTGGAGATGCTGTCCACCCATTCACGTTCCCTCAGGAGAAACTAAGGGTGTTTCAGAGACCACAACGCTCTGTTACTGCCTTCCTCCCTCCTGCTCCAAGAGGACGGCGTTCATCTGCTTTGTATCATTACTCAGTTAACTGGAGGCTCAGCCTATGATGAAACCTGCCTTGGAAACCCTCTCCCTTGGGAAGGGTGGGGTCACCTGGCCCAAGCAGCATCACTCTGGTACAGCTCCAGCCCTGGCTGTTATTCCCAGGTCCCCTCCAAGCCAATCCCCATCACCCGATGAGCAGGAACAGTTTCTCCCTGCTCCCAAGCAGACGGGGTGGATCGGGATCACTACACCCTCTCCAGCATGTTCAGGCCACCTCATCTTCCAGCTGGCTCCACATCAGCAACTTCTCCAGCTCCACTGTCCACAAAGCACAACTCCCCTTCACACTGCTGCCTACCCAGGGATGGGATCACTGAGGGCTGGCACAGCAGCGCTCCTGTCCCATGGAAACCAGGCTCCTTCCCACCAGTGAGTGCCAATAAAATCCTTTTGCCACCTCTGTGCACCACTGAAGCACCAGCACAAGGTAACTGTGAAGCCAGCAACAGGGACCAGGATGGGGGCTCTGCCCACAGACCCAGCACCAAGCAGCCCAACAACTCTGCTGATCACTCTTCTCCTGGACAAACACCCTCTCCTTCCCATTGCAGGCACGGCACCAGCACCGGGAAGCTCTGGAAACATCGGCTCCCAGAAGGAACTCCCAAAGAGAGCCATCCTCATGAATTCCCTGCTGGAGCCGCCAGGAAATCAGCAGCAGGCACGCACGGATGTCAGAAGGACGAGCATATGTTGGAAGACCCAGTGCTTAAAGAGCCCCGAAGCACTCGCTGGCGTGCATGAGGCCTCTTGTGTCTCCTAGTGCCCAAATAATGAAGTTTCTTCATCAAACCAGGGCGTAACGGAGCACGAAGTCCTCTGGGTACCGCCGGGATGGCCGCTGGCCTGGGAGGGGCTGCCTTCCCCAGCCTGGGAATTGCAAAACAAAAGGCAGCCCCTCTGGATCCCTCAGCACTGTGCTCACTACCAGCTCATTGTGGTGCCCATCCACCATACCCACTGCACCCGTATAGCAGTGCCGGACACCACGGTGCTGGCCACATCACCCTCCGCTGGCTGTGTGCTCCCAAGGCGGTGTTATGGGCAGCAACGGGGAAGGGGGAAAGGCGAGCATGTGTTCTGTTCACTCCCAGCAGCGAGCAGCTCCCGGCTGCTCCGTCGGGCACCGTTTTCCCAGCTGGATTTTGCAACACACGGAAGGTCAGGACAAATGGAATGCCGTCGATTCATGTTCAGACCAGCCTTGGCTGTGCCACCTCTGGTCTCCAGCACCAGGCTTCTCCCTGGTTTTAAGGCTACGGGAGGAAGCTGTTTCCTCATCCCGTGTTAACCAAGCTTCACAAGCTGGAAATTGCCCCAGCTGGATTTATTCCTTAAATTCTAACTCACGGGAATGAGGTGGGAGCTCTGGAGGAAGCAACCAGCAAGAACATGTTGCACAACCGGGCTCCTCCATTCCAAGCCTGCTGTACACCACAAACCTAATGCCGTGTGCTCAGGAGTGAACCCATGAGTGCGAGACGGAGGTGAAACTGGAGTGTAGGTCAGAATATGCTTCTGATAGGGGATGGTCTAATAGGAGATGGGGACCTGATCGCTGCCTACAAGTGCCTGAGAGGAGGATGGAGCCAGGAGGGGCTGGGCTCTGCTCCCAAGGAACAAGGGATGGGACGAGAGGAAACGGCCTCAAGCTGCACCAGGGCAGGTTTAGATGGAGCTGAGGAACAATTCCCTCCCCAAAGGGTGCTCAGGCATTGGAACAGGCTGCCCAGGGCAGGGCTGCAGTCACCATCCCTGCAAGAGTTCACAGCTCGTGGAGACGAGGCCTCAGTGCCATGGGTTAGGGGTGGCCTTGGCAGTGCTGGGAACGGTTGGACTGGGTGAGCTTAAAGGTGTTTTCCAACCCGGCCGACTCCCAGGATTCTACGATGGGGATGGAAAACGAGGGGTTTCCTCCCACTTCACTCCCGCTCGGGTTTACTTTCCCCTCTCCGGCAGGCGCCTTCCCTCCTCAGCCACCACTTCCCCATCTCCTCAGCTCCTCCCTGAGGACACGCACCCGCTGCACCGAGCGGCTCCCCCGCCTTGCCTGCACAGGCGGATAAACAGGTTCCGAGCAGGGCCGCGCTACGGGAAATGGCTGCGGAGCCGCGGCCGGGCCTGTGCCGGCAGCCGCGGGGAAGGCCCCAAAGGCCGGCCCAGCGCCCCCCCACACCCCGCCGGGGCCCTCAGGGTGCTCCGCGCCCCCCCCCGCCCATCGCCCCCCACACACTCCCCCGAGGCCGCCTCACCTGGTACTGCGCGGCGGCCGGGCCCATGGGCCGGTACCCCGGGGCGGCGGCGGCGGCGGGAGGAACCGGGCTGGGGCCGCGCAGGATGGCGGGGCCGGGCCCCGGGGGTGGCGGGGCGGCGGCGGGGGGCAGCGGGCTGAGCGGGAAGGAGCCGCGGCCGGCCATGGCGGGACGGGGGGGGGCGGCCCCGGCCGCGCGGGTCACACGGCAGCGGCGGCGACCGCGGGCCGAGTCAGCGCGCGCCTCCCGCTTGCCACGCCCCCCGCGATGAGGCCACACCCCCGCGGTGAGGCCACGCCCCCCGCGATGAGACACCCCCCCCCCCGCGCTGAGGCCACACCTCCCGTGCTGAGGCCACACCCCCGTGCTGAGGCCACACCCCCCGCGATGAGGCCACCCCCCCCCGCGATGAGGCCACACCCCCATGCTGAGGCCACACCCCCGTGCTGAGGCCACGCCCCCGCCCCTCCGCCCACCAGCGCTCAGTCTCCGCCCCAGACCCCCCCGCGCCGAGGCCCCGCCCACCCAGGTCCCGCGCTCCTTGAGGCTCCTTTGGGAGCTCTCTGCGCTGGCCGCCAGGGGGCGCCGCAGGGCCGGGCCCCGCTGCGTGCGGAGCCCCGTGTGGGGCTGGGGCCCCATCGGAGAGCTTGGTGTGGGGCAGGACCTGGCGGAGAGCCTGGTTCCGTGCTGCACTATGGGGCAGGGGCTCAGCCCCTCTCCTTTCCTCCCCCTTCCTTCGCTCCCAGCTCCGGCTCCACCACCCCCGGCTGCTGCTGACCCAGTCCCGTTTCTTGCCCTTTGCATCCTTTCCCCCCCCTCTCCCCTCTTGCTGCTCCATTTCCACCACCAGCGCAGTCACCCTGCTCCCTTCCCTCACCTCATCTTCCCTCTTTGCCCTTTGCCACCGCTGCTTTGCCCAGGCAGGGCACAAGCACCCAGCCCTGGCTCCTGCCCGTGCCCAGTTCACAGAATCCTAAGGGTTGGAAGGGACCTCAAAAGATCATGTAGTCCAACCCTCCTGCAAGAGCAGGGTAACCTAGAGTACATCACACAGGAACTTGTCCAGGCGGGCCTTGAATATCTCCAACGTAGGAGACTCCACAACCCCCCTGGGCAACCTGTTCCAGTGCTCTGTCACTCTCACAGTAAAGAAATCTTTCCCGATGTTCACATGGAGCCTCCTGTGCTCCAGTTTACACCCATTGCCCCTTGTCCTAGCACTGGACATCGCTGAAAAAAACCTAGCTGAAAACTGAAAACCGGTTCAACCCCTCTGGCTGCCAACACGGGGAGCAGGACGAGAGCAGAGCTCTGCTGCCTTCTCCCAGCTAGCTGCTTGCACAAGAGGTGGGGTGCTTTGGGGTGCTGGACCATGGAGCATCCCTGTGTCTTGTTGTCTTGAATCCATATTCTGGGGTTAAGAAGCAATGGAGGACGTGCTGTGGTGGGGTCACAGCACACCTCTACAGATGGAGACTTCTGGCATTCATTTAAAAGTAAGAAAGTAGAAGTTTTGCTGATCTTCTGCTGAAATCACAAGTGAAAATGAGCACTCCAAAGGGGATGGGGTCTCCCTGCTGCTCCCAGCCCCACTGCAGTGCTGGGGGATCATGGGGTGGCCTAAAACCACCCCAGCCCCTTGGTGTGTGTAGGGGCTGCATTTATGGACATCAGACCCAACAAGCAGGGGTAGGGAAAGGGTTTCCTTGGCACAGGGACGTGGTGTGGGGCTCCCCAAAGGAGGCTGCTGAAAGTGCCACCAGCCCTTATCCCCTTTGAGCCTCACTCCATGGGCACTAGATGGAGCAAATTACCCAAAAAGGAAGTTTTCCTGTGGAATTACATCTCCTGCAAGCCGCTGTTGGACGCGGTGCCGGTGGGGGATGAAATGGGGATGCAATGAGGTTTGGGGGCAGCTGGTGCTGCCCTCCCCGGGTTCTTTCACCACAGCCATCATGAAAACACGGCTCTTCCCTTCGGGAGCACTGAGCCCTTCAAGCAGTGGAACATGAAGCCCTGCTCTGGTGGTGATTACAGAGCTGCTGCTTACCCTTCAGGAAGGGTGGGCAGCCAAAGTGATGGTGTCTTTCCTCTCCAGTGGCTCCATCACAGTGTCCCTGGCACTGAGCACAGGCAAAACCCACCTGAAGGTGACGGTGAAGGCTTTTTGTGTCATGGTTGTTGCTGAAGACCTTCCCCTGAGTGATTTCCTACATATTAATGGGTCAGAAAAGGCTTCTTTCAGCCCTTTCCCTCTAAAAAGACTTCAGTCCTCAGCAGAACGTCATCCCAGTGTCATTCCTGGTGGCTTCTCAGCTCCGTGGGACAGCAGCAATGATGGGTGTTGATCCTTACTGCTCCATGGTTCATCCACGCAATCACTGCTTTGTTTCAGAGTGGGCTGTGCTGGGCACTGGTTTCCCATATGAAAACCTTTCTCCAGGGTGCAGAGCTGCTTTTCCTATTAATCTAACCCAAAGAATCTTCCTTTTCTTTGCTGGAATGTAAGAGATGCTCCTAAACCCCCCAGACCTTCTGGGAATAAGGAAGATAACCAAAAGGTTTAGGATGAAGAAATGCCAGCACAAGAGCAGTTTCATCTGCCTGTGTGTGCTCTGCAATGCACTGTAGGCACAAGGCATCCTGCTGCCGTGTGCAGGGCCCTTGCAGCAGTGATGGGCATTCCAGAGAAGAAGGTGAGGATTTGGGCTTCTCTTCCCTTCTCCCCAGTTTCCCTCCCCTGTTGCAGTGGGAAACCCAAGTCCCCCCTGCCTTCCCAGTTATGGGCAACCTCCCTTGCCATCCAAGGCACCTTCCATTTAAAAGCATTAAGCCTAATTTTGATGTGGTTTTATCTCTTCGTGGGTTTCAGGTCAAGATCGTTCTAAGGGGGTTGATCCCAATGGAAAACCTTCTCTCTTCTGCCCCAGACCACCGAGGAGATCTTTGCATCAGCATCTCTCCAGGCTCAGCTCCTCCATAAACCCTCTGTGCTTGGGCACAAGAGGGCACTGGAACACCGCCATGATCGGGCTGCTTCTGAGCGCAGGCAGAGCTGCTGGAGCCATAAAGTCCCTTCTGCACCTTCCACAGGGTCAGTGCCCATGCAGGAAGGAGCAGACACATCCAGGGGATGCCCTTGCCCTGCACCGTGATGTGCATGTCCACGCTGTGCCCTTCCCATTGAATTCCATCACCTCAAATGATGGGAGCTGAGCAGAGCAAGCACCTCCTCCTGCATGAGCAGACCTGTTACTTCTGGGGCTGGGACATGCAAAAGCAAACACATCCCTTGAAGTTTGTGCTTGGTGGGGCCAGACAAGCTGCAGCAAAGCCAAGAGCTGGGGTTGGAGTAGGGAGAAACCTCTGCAGACCTGGAGTGCTTAATGTATTAACCTCATCAATGCAAATAGTGTTTGTGCTCCTAGGAGCACCCGGCCCTTCCCAACGGCAATGGTGCTTATTCCATATACATCAAATTTACCAGCCTATAAACATTAGTACATCCCACAGACATATTCACCCTCATAAAAAACATCAATTGCTGCCTGAGTCTATTAGTGGAAATAAATTAGAGAACTTCATTGCTCTGCCACGATGATGGGCAAAACCACATAAAAGAGGCACTCAGAAGATGTTTTTGTGTCGCTTGTTACAGAAGTTGCTGATGCCATTCAGCTTCTTCAAACCACCATGAATTGCATTTAATGAAGGCGTTTGAAATCCTTCAATGACTAACTGATAAATATGTCCCTTTTGCAAGTCCTGTGTGAACAATTCTTGTGCAGGTGAGGATAAGAAACCCAGTTTATGAAGCATCACCCTTCGGGAGGGATGCAGGATGGATCCTTCTACACTCATTTTTGGATGGTGAAAGTGTCTGATAGGGGAACAAGAGTTTGTGCCGTTCAGCTCCTCAAAAGGGAGACTGTGAGGGGGGTTTGTTCCAGTGTGAGCAGCTCTGGAAGAGGAAAGTGTCTGGTGGAATAAAGGTACAGGAGGGAAGTGGTGGCTGGGGGGGAACTGGATGAGAAATGAGGCTCATGCTTCCAGCAGTGATTGTCCATGTGAGGAAACCTCTTAAGGGAGAGGTGGGTTTTCCTGCAGATGCTTTGTGCTTCATTCCCACTGGAGTCACTGGGGAAGTGGGGGAGATGAAGTGGCCTGCAGTGCTGAGGTTGGTCTCAATGACTGAACGTCCGATGTGGTTGTGAATCTGCGGCAGGAGGAATGAGGAGTAAGGTGGGGAATAGAATCAAAGCTGTCCCCACTGCAGGGACAACAAGCCTTTCCTTGCCCAGGCTCTCCAGGGTATCCATGGGTGTCAAACCATCCTTCCCTCACCACATCATTGCCTTCTTCTTCCTTGCCCTGCACATGGTGCCCAGGGTAGTTGAATGTGCTCTGCAGTAGGTGATCTTGGGGACATCATCTCTTCAAGTAATGCCCAACTTGTTGGCTTTTCCTGTTGGTTTCCCACCCAGGGAGGTCACAGTGGGGTGCTTCAGGTGGTCCCGTGCCCATCTGTCCCTCCTGAGCAAGGAGGAGGCTCCCAGCAGGGATGATCCATGTCTCCCATCTCATCTGCTTTATCTCTTCCGTGTTCTCACTCATCAGCCTGGGTGTTAGAATGAGTCTCCTTCTCTTCTGCACCTCTCTGCTCTTTTTACCAAGGCCTTCTCCTCCAGGTCTGTCTCAGGTACGTGGTACTCCTGTTACCATAGTAATGTGCCTCTCCATCTCATAGCCACTTATCCTTGTAACATCCTTGCACAGGAGAGGAGCACTTCTTGTCCCCATGATACTCATCACCGTGGAGGGAGGCACTAGGATGAAAAGCTCAAGAGAAGTGGTCATCCAGATGGTGCAGGGCAGAGGTGGCCATCGCTGGTTGCTCATATTCACCCTTGCTCAGCCCCATGGCAGGGTTTCTTGTCTGGCTCCACTGCTGATGGTGCTTACAACCTCTTCCCTTCTCTCTGTGCTTGGGGACAAGAAGTGATTAAAGGGTTTAATAACTTGGATTTATTCTATGCTTCTGTCTGAGGCTGTTCAAAGAACAATCAAGTGACTCCACTGTGATCATGGCTTAGTACAAGCATTCAGAGATGCTTCCTCTGGCAGCTCCTCTGTGGGGGTGATGATACC